GGACCTTCACAACTATCCTCACTTGACAGGAGGCAAATTCAGGATAAGGGAAGCCCACCGCTCCAGGCCACCCCTTGCATCAGTGAGATCAAACCAGGAAGGCAGCTGAGACTCAGATTTGAGTGACCCTTGAGTATCCAGTTGGAGATTTAAATCAAAAGCTAAACATGGATATGCATGGAGTGTGTCAAGCAGATGCAGGGTGGTAAGAATTCAAAGACAAGGAAGCCACAGCCCCAACAGTTCATCAGGGTGCAGCCAGAATCCCAAGAAAAACCTTCACCCAGCAATTCCACAGGGAGAACCTACATCCCGATAATTAATGATTTGAGCCAGGACGATTTCTTTAGAGTAGCTTCACATGGCGGAATTCAGAAACTATATAAAAGCTAACCTAGGCGTAGGGTTAAGTGCAACTGGGCAGGCTTCTACACCACTGGCCTCTGTGGTCACCCCCTGAGGCCTTGGTCTTGTTAATGCAGAGAGCGTGGGCACGGGGCTCACGTGCCTGGTGAGGGACAGACGCACAGGTGCAAGTGTGCACACCTGAGCCTAGATCAGGGCTACAAGGGCGGGGTCACTCAGAGCCAGCTGCAGGACAACGGCAGTGGGGGTGGGGAGGTGGCTACGCGTGGACAGGTGACATGAGAGGACCCCAGAGAAAGCCCAGAGAAATGAGCATTTAGAAACTGGGGGGCGGGGGTGGGTGGGTAGGGGGCATGTTGCTGTCCCTGCTGGCTGGTTTCCCTGCTGACATTGAAACCAGTGAAAATGATATCAAGGGCTGCAAAATTCACCTTCAAATTGCTAGAACCCATGCTGAACCTTTGTGACTTGGGGTGGTTACAAAACAGTAAGTGTCGGTTACGTAAATGACCATCCAGCCATCCATTTAGACGGCGCTGCAGAAGAATACAGGAAACGTAACTGATGTGAAGACAAGCCAATGACAGGTTATTGAATGAAAAATGCAGATTGCAAAATAGTTTACGCTCTGATTGTCTCTCTCTGTGTGTGTGTGTGTCCTGCAAAATTTGAATAGTGGTTATTTTCATCTTAGGTGATACCACCAATCTTTTTTTGTTGTTATTGTTTTGATTCCACAAATACCAAGCACCTACAACAAGGTGCACCTGTAGGCCAGGTGTTACACACAGTGGCGAGTGAAAGGATTCTCACTCCCTGCCTCTAGAAGGAACAGCGGGGCATTCAAATAACCACTGCAGAGCTCCAGATCAGAATGTGCAGTGAGGGTCGAGCGGGTCAGGGACGGCGGCACCAGGGATGACATACCTGGATCCCACGGTCAGGGAAGGGCTGGCTTTGGAGTGGCAGCGTGGGGTGGAGAAGGCCTGAGCCAGGGCGGAGGTGAGGAGGCTGGCGGCGGAACAGGATAAGCAGACACGGAGAGGCAGGACGCTTTGGGGAAAGTCGAAGATGGAAGATCGGTGTGGGTGGAATGCTGGGCATTAAATGAGGCGGGGCCTCTGACCAGAGGAGATGTTCCTTCTACGGGAGCTCCTTGCTAGGGGAAATCCACCCATCCCGCTCTCCTCGGCTATCAGACCTAAATTTCTGAGCAAATTCTACCTGCTTGGACTCAACATCCACCCACCATGCCCCAAGAAGACAGACTACTCTCTGGGGTAACCCTGGTTAACTGCCAACATTTGCCTGGCTGCCTTTTGTCCCCCCTGGTTGTGTTTTGTGGGTTTGTGTTAAGCCGGGTCTCACCTACCTACTTCCCGGGTCAAGTCAGTGTACAGGAGAGACGCCCTCGCATGAGACTTTTAGAAAATGTAGCTGATACTGAGAAATAATAATTGCTCAGGAAAATGGAAAACCTTCGTTTGAAACTTCTGCCTCTTTCTGGGAGATTCTGGGAAAATGCAATTCCTTGCTAAAGGTAGACAAGAGGTAGTTTTTGTAACCAAATGCTTTTAAAGGGGCAGCTGCCGGCGTTCTCCACATTGCCAGCCTCATATGGGCCATTCGAGGGACGGACAGGATCCTTATCCCAGGCCCCACCTTTCAGCCCACGTGTGAGCGGCCACTCTGTGGGAGTCCATGCAGGGTTCCCTGACATCACACTGGAAGGCCACGAACTAGATCAAGAAAAATGCAGACATCTCCGGGCCAGCACTTTGCTCTGAAACAGCGCAAACAGCCTGTTTCCAAAACAAGCAGCCGCCAGCCATTTGCCCACCAGGTCTGTGCCAGAGACAGAAGCAGGATGCCGGAGCCCAGGTGCTGCAGCAGGGAGGGGGTGAAGGGGCATTGCCACATGGGGAGTAATACAGCGAGGGGGGTGTCCATTCTGGGGCCCCAGGAGAGACGCTGGCCCCAACTTCTCACACCAGCATCACGGTGCCTAGAAGCGAGAGCATTTTTTTTTTTTTTAAAGATTTATTCATTTCTGCATACAGAACTAGAGCACAGACCAGAGGTGCAGGGGTGGTGAGAGGATTCACCAGAGACAGAGTGGGGAGCAGAACAGGCAGATTGAGCAGCGGGCGGGTCAGGAGAGGTCTGCCGCGTCATGCGGTCACCTCCCGGGAATCGAACTCATGCGGAAGTGGCTTTAGCTTCTCAGTGCTGTGCTTTAACCTGCTGCGCCACCAGGGAGGGCCTTGTTTTGTTTTTTAAAGATTTACTTATGTCTATAAGAACTGGGGTACAGGCCAAGGTGTGTGTGTTGGGGGGTGGTGGTAAGAGGATTCACCAGAGACAGAGTGGGGAGCAGAACAGTGGATCTGCTGAAATCCACTGCTGAAGGGAGCAGCAGGGAGATAGGAGAGGTCACTGCCTACCCAGGGATCGAACTCGTGCCACAGTGGCTGCCGATAGCTTGATAGCACTGAGAGCCTTCGTGACCCCCATGTCATAGACGAGGACGCCGCCAGGCAACATGGTGGAAGTGATTAATAGTCCATAGGAGCAAGAAGCTCAGCACAACCGCGGGAGCACCTGGGGAGGGGGACCAGCTGGGTGAAATTTGAAGCTGGGGCTCAGAAAGAGAAGGTCCAAGAGTGGAGGGACCCCGGGGGGAAGCAGGGATCCCCGGGGGAGGCTGGAAACAATGGGTTCTATCGTTGGTGGTTCTGGGGTGTCTTGCTGCCTCTCACCTGCCCCCAAAGGAGACCGGGGGAGCTGGAGATGGGAGGGAAGGGCTTCTGGAAGGGCTGGGTCGTAACTGCTTTGGGGACGGGGAGAAAGGGGCTATTGGCGCAAGCCATGGGTTCTAGCTTCTTCTGGGAGGCACTGACCCTTTGAGAATCCAGCAAAACCATAGACCCTCTTCTCCGAGGCAGGCGCGGGACCCAGCAGTGCTAAGGCTGGCGGATCGCAGAAGCCATCCATCCATGCCAGCGCCAGAGCCCAGACTGACAGCACAAGAGTGGCAGAGAAGCCGGCACCGAGAAGCGGGCAGGCACGAGGGGCCGCTTGCTCCGGCTTTCTCTGTAGGTGCCCAGGTCATCTAGAGGGGCATCCAGGTCACCCAGTGTGGTGCCACAGGACTTGGGCCCAGAGCTGCCTGTGCCCACGCCTCTCTTGCCTCATCCTCACTGGATGAATCAGGGTTCTTGGCCATTGAGACAGAACCCCCGCCCCACCCACCCCCAGACTGCCTGGAAAGAAGGCAGAAACTTCTGGAAGTGTGAGCCCCTTTCCAGCCCAACGGGGAAGGCGCAGCCATGTGCACCATGAGGACTAAGACCAAGGAATCCAGCAGCCCAAACTCCCCACACTCTCACCTGCACCCCACAACAGTTTCCAGCCAGAGCCCAGCCCCTACACCTCACTCTGGCCTTCACTGTACCCGGTCAGCCTTGGTACCTGCCTGCAGCAAGGACAAGAAGCCCAGAGCTGCAGACCCCACCTCCTGAAACAGCCCTCGAGGGGTCAAGTCCCTTTGCTTTTCCGGAGGTTTCGTGGCAAGGCCCTGTTCACAGCGGCTGCAGAATGGAAGAACTTGTGTCCTCTGACAGGGCACTGGATTGAGATGGGGTCTAGCCACACAACGGATTATTCAAATGTGAAGAAATAACAGCAGAGTGGAAGGCGCTCCAGGGGAACATCCAAAGCAAAGTGAGCCAGAAACATAAGGACAGATGTCGGCTGCACAGAGAGGCGCAGTGTCGGAGCAAAGCAGATGAGCTGGTGAAGCAAAGTAATTATAAACCAGCAGGCACGAACACTGAGGTTTCTGAGGTCAAGGGGGTGGAGAGGAGAGAGAGGCAAGGGGGAGTCGGAGGGGGAGGGGAAAAAGAAGTCAGGGAACAGTGATCTCAAGCAATTAAAAACAAAGCCACAAATCACCCCCAGTCTGCTTTAAACTGACCAGCTAGCCCATATCTGCTGAGACGAGGGCAGCCATGTCTGCAGCTGGGCAGACTGAAGACCTCCACGGCCACCCCGAGTAGGTAGGTAGCTGGCTACTGAGAGGTGCTCATCACCTTTCCCGTGCCTCCCGCGGGTCCTCACACGCGTCAGCAGGGTCCCTCACGAAGGCATCAGCTGGCCAGCAGGTCCCGCCTGACGTCCTCGTGAGTGCCCAGCACTCAGGCTTCTCCCCTCGAGACGCCGCTTATACGCAGGTAACCCTTGGGGGCTTGCTCCCGGCCTTTCCCCACCTGCCCAGACTGGGGAGACCTGCTGGCGGGAGGCTGGGCCTGCACATAGGCGGTGGGGGGCGGGCACCAGCGTTAGGCCTGCTCCAGGGCAGAAAGCCCAGCTGCCTGGCAATTCTGAAATCTCTCTTCAACGCCCAGCGCAGGCTCAGAGCTGGGAAAGGTCAAGGGCGGTTCGTGCGGGGCTCGGGAGAGGAGGGGAGCAAGGCCTGGTGTTCGCAGGCTCCAGGGGGCCTTCCCTGCCCCACCCTGGCATTCAAAGATGAGGCCAAAGTTTTTGAAAAATATAAAATTTTAATAAAGGCTACATCTCTTAATTACAATAATTATTGTACCATGTAATTTTCCTTAAATGAACTCTTTATAATGCATAATTTACAGTATAAGTAGAACAAAATGCCATGGCAAAAGTCAGAGTATAAGACTTGTAATAAAAAGGCATAAAATATATTTATACATAAACCCCTTTCAAAAAACAAGGGAAAGCTTGAGCCCTCAATATAGGGCGACACACGGAGGGGCCCGTGCAGGTACAGGTACTGTACTGATTTAAGTCAAGCACTAGAGATAGTGGATTAATACTCTTTTGCCATACGATATATACAGACGTATAGTACAAGGAACGAGGGCAAACAGAATGTACACATTAACTTAACACAAAAACCCGAACGCCAAAACGAAGGGTCTGGAGGAAAGGGTGCTGCGAGTCTTCCCACAGCTGTCGGCGTCTCTGCAGGGCCTGGGGGGGAGGGGGCCGTTGACAGAACGCTGTGGTCCAATGATCCATTCAAACACACACACACACACACACACACACACACCTCAAGAAACTGCAAGGACCTGTTACATTTCAATCACAAAGCACAAGCTTGAATCACAGGAGCCAGCCGACCCTGGCCATGGGCCACTGGATGGGGCCTTGCTGTCTGGGGAGCTCCAGGAAGATTCTGGGGCCCCCACGGAAGGTTCCTCACTCCACCACACCCTCTGCCACCACCATGATGCTCCCGTCTTACATGGCAAACCCCCCCCCCATGACAAGTCACCCTCAAGACCTCGATGACAAAACAGGGCAGCCCAGAACGAAAAACGCGCCGATTTCGGCTTAAGGTAGCGCGGCCTCTCAAAGGCCTGCCCTCACGGGGAGGGGGCGGGGGGGGGCAGGGCATGCTTCTCTCTGGCCCAGCTCCTGCGTTTAAGACAGAACCACCACTCTCTTCCCTTCCGTGTCCAAGCAGCATATCCATAAACTGGGGGCGGGGAATCAATGTTCAATAAATATCAGTAAGGATTCCTGTTCAGGTGAGCTGTACAGTTGCTCAGTTTATGGATCTCAGAGCCCTAGGAAGTCCTCTGTCATGGGTGGTTGGTGGTCTCTCAAGTACAGCCAGCATCTCCAATCGCCAAGAGTGGTTTTAATAGATAGTGAAGCCTCTTCTGGCCCCAGTACCCAGCTCGTGAGTCATGAAAACAGGCCTCCCCGCACCCCGGCCCGAGGCCCCACTCTGTGTCTTCTTCATTGGTTTAGTTCCTTCAACGCGTTTCTGCAGCGCCATGTGGCGTGGGCTCTGGCGTCCGCAGCCCCGAGGCCGGCCAGAGGCTCAGTCGATCCTCTCCACCTTCCCCAGGATCCTGCCTTCGTACATGGGGAGCACCGTCTCGTCGTCCCAGACTTCCTCAAACACCGCCCCGCAGGCGAATTCGTCGCTCGCTTTTTTGAAGTAATACCTAAGGAGGCAAACCGAAAGCGCACTCCGGTGAAACCGCAGCTGGGAGCCTGTGCACAGACCTTGGCGACCGGAGGACTGAGGTGCCCGGAGAACGCTGCTGTGGCTGCGGCAGGTCAGCCGTGCCCGTGCCCGAAGGGGGGTGCAAGTGGGCAGGCTGAGGTGGCTCGCAAGGCCAGCGGGGTACCGGGAGCTGTGGCCTGGAAGGTGCCTGCTCGGGGCTGCCGCCTTCAGCCCAGAACTGCCCGCTGTCCGCTGACACACGTACCGAAAAGCGCGCCTGGGCCAAGCTGAGAGCCCAGAGCCTTCTCTGTCCTTTCTATGGGAGGAGGGGCAGAAGGCAAAGCGTGTCTGGAGCTCACCTGCTAGAGCAGCCGCGGCAGGGAGGGGCCCTCAGAGAGACCCAGCCCCGGCCCCACTGGCCCGGAGAATCTGAGGAAGGTGCTTCGGTGGCCCCTAGTCCGCCCCGACACCCCGGCCACCCCTCCTTGCCTTGGCGCCCAGGCTCCTGGGGGCCGGGGCCCAGCACGGCCGGGGGTGGGGTGGCCCTGCAGCAGGCCGGCTGCCGGTGCACCCCATCTCGCCTGCAGCTAGCACGCAACTCGGGCCCCATCCTGCTCTGCGCTCCTTACCGCTACCTCGCCCGGCCAGACAGCAAAGGGCCGGTCTATTAAGCCCTTAGATTAAAGTTTCCTTTTATCCAACCTCCCTTCTTGCAAGGCCGTTTAATTGTACGGACACAAACGATGGGCCTTTCCCAGGGGCGTTGCATGCAGAAACAAAATTAAGCAAAGGACTCCCTCCCTCTCCCGCGTGCCCAGCAAGGGCGACACCCGGGGCGGCAGCTGTCACCTGCAGCCACTGTGCCCAGAGAGGGCCCAAAGCCCACACCGTGTCTCCAGCTAGCTTCAGTTTTTCTTTTTGCTTTTCTCTTTAAGAAGAAAGAAGTCCCCTTGGTTAAGAGCTAGATTTTTTTCTTCTTTAATGAAGGCATGCCAAATACTTTCACAGGAGATAAGGCTACATAAAGTGAAACAGCTGGGTTTAGTCAAGGTTCTTTGTTTTCAGCATTCCGGAGGAGCTGAAGTATTGGGGGGACGAGCACTGTGCCAACGGGCCAGCGGTGGAAAAGCTCCGTATCTAGGGGGGACTCCAGGGCTTGGGTTCAGCAGGAGAGGAGAAAACGGAGGGCGCCTCCGGGCAGCGGAGAGGTGGGCATGGGAAAGTCACTTTTCCAGTAAGAGGCTCGAGGCCGGTGGGCAGCCTCAGTGCCCCGGGGCTTCTCTGGTCGGGTGACACGCGAGGGCCTCACAGGCCACGGGCAAGGCATGCTCCTGGGCCCGCCCCCGAGACTGCCAACACGCAGCACTCCCTTGCTTTCTCCAAAAAACAGGCTTTTCCCTGCAACATGCTTTCCGTGGCCAACGCTGCTTTCTTCTGACATCTGGCACCAATAGCGTCTGGCACGTCTGGAGGGGCCGCTCGCCTCTGAACCTGTGCCATGTTGAGGTTACTCAACGTGGTCTCCTGCTCCATGCTGGGCTTTTCACGGGGGACTGCCGGGGGGCCAAGTGAGGCATGGGCGTGCCCACCTCCCAGGCGGGTGAGGCCTGGCACCTTGTGTCCACCCTTGCCAGGAGGATAAGGCGCCCAGCTGCAGCCTGGTGAGCCAGGACAGCCAGAGATAAGGCGGCTGGGAAGGCCCTGCCACAGCCTGATCCAATCAGCCAAGAATTTGAGAGTGGGCCATTTGTGCAAGTCTTTGTGCATGAAAGAGGAGGCCGGGGCTTCAAAGCCGGGCTTGTTAAGTGTGCCTTAGGAAAAAAAAAATCAGAGCCAGATGTGGCCAGAGTGGCCGAGTGCAGAACCCCTCAGCAGCCTCTCCGCTAAGCGCTCGTGGCCCTTCTCCCCTGGAGGTCACCTGAAGGTCACCTGCCGTTCCACTTAGTCCAGCCAAGTCAAAGCTGAGATCCAAACGGACCCCTTGGGTAATGAGCGTCACCTTGTGTCTCCGCGATCACAAGAAGCCTCAGGAGCCGCGGCAGCTGCAGTGCAGCCAGGCTCGAAAGCCCTGACGCCTCTCAGAGTGGCCCTGCCTGGGTGTGACGGGAGAGATCTGGGCCGGCTCGTCAGTCACCCACAGGGGCCCCAGCCTGAAGCCCCATCCTGCTGCCTGCAAAGGGCTCGCTTGGGGCCTAGGTCAGCTCGCAGGGCAGGCAGCCAGGACAGCCGCTCCGGGAAGGGAGGGTGGGCCCAGGCCTGCAGGAAGGCAGCCGGGCCCAGGAGCCGATGCCCGGCAGCAGGTGGCTTGGCACACGGAAAGCACTGTACCGCCTACCTGGCTCGAGGCGGGGTGTTGGGTACTGGGGGGGGGGTGCCTCCTCCCCTGCCCCGCGCACACTTGAGATGAAACTAACTGGAGCTGGACCCACAGCCCCGGGGCCACATGGGGAAGGCGCAGGCCGGACTCTGGCTGAACCGCAGCGAAGCGCCACCTGCCCAAGCTACAGGGAAAGTGACCGACCTCCTCGGCTCCTTGAGCCTCTACGTGGGGGGAAAAAGCCCAGGGAGGGCAGGCTCTTTTCCAAGACCACCACAGGGACAGTGGCCAGTGCTGCCAACCACTCCCCCCGCCCCCGGGTCTCCCCGCAGCTCCTGTGCCTTCTTTATTTTGGACAAGAGAGCGCACCTGAGGCCCATGACCCAGATAGCGCGTGAGGTGGGTCAGGAGCACCTGCCCTCGCGTGGGGTGGTGGATCTGCCCCCAAGCAGGAGGGCTCCCCGCTGACCAGGCTGTCTGTCTCCCTCATACACACGTCCCTCTCCTTCAGCGGCACCGCCTGGGGGCCCCGCTCTGGTCCCTTCTTGCTTGCTCTCAGCCTCCTCACCTGGCAGGGAGAGCCGGGTCAGGTCCCCAGAGCCCTCCCTGGGCTGCTGCGCTGCTTCTGGGCAGAGGGCGCCAGCAAGACCAGTGCCTCCCGGGTGCTCGCCCCGGCCCCAAGCCCGGGAAGCCAGGCCGGACCAGGTCGCGAGCAAGCGAGCTCCACAGCAGGGTGAAGCCACGAGCTCTTACCTGTAATTCCCCTTTTTGCTGAGCTGCTCTTTAAAGTGGCCGAGGGTCAGGCTCTGGGCCTTCAGCATCCTCCGGTATGGGATCTCCTCTCCGCAGAAGAAGTAAGTGACGACCAGCTCGCTGGCCTGGAGCACGTGGACACCCGCCAGCTTCTTTGGCTCTTTGTGGCTGAAAAGCAGGAAGAGACGCGCTCAGCCTGTGAAGGCCGCAGGCGCACGCGGGTGCGGGGGCTGGGGCGGGCTCTGCAAACCCAGGCCCCAGGGTGCAAGGGGGCCGCGGCTCGCGGTGCTGGGGTGCGGCGCGCTCCGGACAGCCCGGTGCCACCCCTGCTCACGTGCGCGGGACCAGGGCAGGCACCGTGCCCAACTGCCGGGACAGCAAGCAGGGTGCAGAGCAGCTCCTTTCAGGCTGGCGCAGGTGGGGGGCCCCCAGGCAACTGAGAGGAGACACTATCTCCCCGGGGCCGGGGACTCGGCCACCAGGCCGTGCCACAGGTGCCCACGGGCTGCGAACTCGATGCTGCAGGCCCGCGGTGGGCAGGGCCCACACTCAGGCTGACTGTACAATTCAGTCTGAGTTTTCGGGGAGTAATTAAAAAACACAACAAGGCCCAGGGTGGCGTCTTATTCGGAACTGCAAACGCAGCTGCTGACGAAGGCGAAGGGGCCACAGGAGACCACTGTGATCACTGAGCCCTCGCTCATCTCCGTCAGAGTGCCTCAGACGCAGCGTCCTGCCATCACGCCAAGCCAGGCCTGTCTGCTCCGCGGGGGGAAGATGAACAGAAAACGCGTGGCCGGGTGGGGAAGGGCGGTCTACCCCGAGGCCGAACAAGACGCCGTCTCCCACCTCCCCGGTGCCGGACCATCGCCCTCCTGCTCCTGACGGACTTGCAGGCAAATGGGGGCAACGCATCCCCCTGGGCTCGGGGCCCCTTTCTTGGCTGTCTGGCCCCGTCTGGAAGAACACGCTGGAAGCCCTGACTGAGCCCCATCACTCGGGAAGGACCACTGGGTCTCAGCGCCCGGCTCAGCCCAGGCGGGATGTCAAGGCCCTAACTGCACGGGTGGTAAAACTCAAGGTGACTGCATGTACTAAAAAAAAAAAAATGCTTTCAAAAAACAACTCCAGAGAGTGAATGCAAACCACTGGGCAGGTCTCGGCGAGGCCAAAGACACTCACTCTTCTGAAGCCGGGCTTGGGTCGGAGGAGGGCGTGGCTCCTGTCTGGCCAGTGGCAGAGGGGGTCCTGTCCCTCTGCTGACTGACCTCGCAGCACCTGAGGACACAGCCGAAGGATTCAGAGGTCAACCTGCTGTCCCCACAACAAACGGGAAGCAGCCAGAAAACTACTCTATGGCTCGCGAGGAGACACGGACCCCACTTCCATCCCTGCAGACCCACCCCGGTGCTGTGTGAGCGGCGGCTCTAGAGGGACACCTTGAACAGGCACCCGCGCTCCATGGGAGCCCAGGCCAAGGGTGGGCACCTGTTGGCCCTGTTTTCTTCAGGTTCCTCTAACCAGTGGTGATAGCAGCACATGCGCAATGAGACTTGTCAGAGTTACTGAGACTCATCCTCCCACTTCTGTGCAGTTTGCCCAGCTAACAGATCCCGGTTAGCCCCTCAGAAGAAACACAACTAAAGCAAACGGCTTCTAGTGGCTGGGAAGAACTGTGGCCAGGAGCACCTCACTGCCTCCTCGCCCGGGGGTGGAGACCCAGGCAGAAAGGGGCCCTCCGGCAGCAGGCAGGCCTCTGCCTCAGCCCCCGCCCTGCCACTCACCGCTGCCTCGAGGGCCTGGACACCTCGGTCAGCCTGCGGCAGGCCTCCTCCAGCTGCGCCAGGGTGTTGGGTGGGGCCAGGGGTGGCACTGCAGGGTCCTGGGTGAATGGGTGGGCTCGGGGGGTGGCACGGGGGTGCCCACTGCTGCCGCCCCACAGATGATGCCGGCCGCTTCGCTCGGCCAGGGGTGCGCGGGAGAACTCCGCGGGGTAGGCCTTTTTGGCACTTTGGGCATTGGACAAAGGATAAGGAAAGAGAAGCAGGAGAAACTGGGTTAGAAAAACTGGAAAATATGACTTCAGTAGAAACTGTTCTATTCTGCCCTCAGAGGGAGAAAAAAACCCACTCTGACACGCACAGGGTGTCGGAGCCTGGCATCTTTGTGGTCTGCTCAGCAGGGGCCGCGGCCGAGCCTGTGGGCTGACTGCAGGCACCGCGCTCCGCGGCGGTGCTGCGGTGGCTGCCCAGGGGGCCGCGCCAGCATCCACCGCTGGGCGAGCGACCTGTCTCCTTCCTCCCCCAGAGGCTGCGGAGCCCCCCTCCGCCTGGGGCCCCCCTTCCCGGGCCGGGCAGGGCGGCGCCAGGCTCTGTGCCGCTCCGCCCGGGCGGTGCCGCCTCTACTGCCTCTGTGGGCCACCAAGAGCCAAGTCCCCAGAGACGTGTTGTCCCTCCGGGCCCCACCTGCACAGCACAACAAGCTGCGGGGGTGGGGGGTGACTCCAGGGACACGGCACCTGGTCCCCACCCGGGACCCCCTCACACCTGCCCGCCGGGAGAGAGGCGTCCCCGAAGCTGAGGCCGCAGACACTTACCCGAGCTGCTCCGGCGGCACCGGCTCCAGCGCCCTGGGGTGGCTCTTGCATTTGGGGTAGCAGTAATACTCGGGGCCCCCGGGGCAGAGGCAGCGCGCCCTCTGGCTGGCCTCCACCTCGATCTCCTCCTTGGTCTTGGGGAGGGCGTGGTGGTGGATGTAGTGGTGGTGGACGTGCTTGGTGGTCTGCTTGGTCACGAAGCCCTTGGCTCCCAGGAGGGGGCAGCCGGCCGCCGAGGGCCCTGCGGAGGGCGGCCTGCCCCCGGCGGGGAGCAGGGGGCGGTACTGCTGCTGGTGGTGGTGGTGGTGGTGGTCGGGGGAGCGCGAGCGCGGGCTGTAGCGGCCGAGACCCGGAGACTGGCAGCCGGGGGTCTTGAGGACCCTGGACAGGTGGTCATCCAGGATGGTCTGCGGGTCCTCCTCATAGCTGGCGGCGGGCAGGAGCGCGAGCGCGTGCTGGGCGGGGCCTCCCTCCCTGGAGCTCAGCGCCAGCTCGGGGCCCTCCTTCTCTTCATCCTGGAAGGGAAAGCCCGGAAGGGGAGTGACCCCAGAACCAGGGGGCGCCCTCGCGAGGGGCGCGGCGGGGCGGGCGGGGCTGCCGGCACTACCTCGCGGATCCGCTGCAGCCGCGCCTCCAGGCTGTGCCGGCTCTCCATCTCCTTCTTCAGCTTCTGCAGGCGGGCGATCAGCAGCGCCGCAAAGGTGGCGGGTTCCATGGGGGTCACCTCCTTGGGCAGGCGGTGGGTTCTCTGCGGGGCGCGGGGAGGGAGAGCAGGCAGTGTCAGCCGGCCGAGCCGGGCGGCGCGCGGCGCACCGGACTCGCGCACTGGACTCGCGGCCGCCGGCTCCGGGCTTTAAGCCCCGCGCCGCGCCGCACGGAGCGCGCCATGGCCTCCGCGCTTGCCTTGGGCAGGAGCAGTTGGTCGCACTCCGAGAGGCCACGCTTGTTCTCTCTGTAGTACAACCAGCCCATCAGTAGCTACTCTGAAGTAGAGAATCTTCAAAGACTGTTGTCAAACATCAAAAAAAAAAAAAAAAAAAAAAAGGCAGCCCTCTGCGGCGGGAGGGGAGGCCAACTCAAGGAATAAAAAATAGTCTAAACAGAAAGGAGTCCAACATTTTTTAAAAAGTAAGACTGGAAGGGAGGTGGGGGTGCAGGCTGGGGCGGCGGAGAGAAGGGGTAAGAGGGGAGTCAATGGGCCCGGATCAGAAGAGCGGTAATTTATTTCCCGGCCGCACACTGTGCACCTTTGAGGCAGTGTTGTCTCAACACCGCCGCGATCCCCCGTTTCCCTCCACCCCGCCTCCCCATCTCTTTGTACAGAAAATGAAGAAAGCTGCTGCGGGCTAGTGGCGGAGCACCGCTGAGC